GTATAACTAGTATACAACGTTTTTTATACCCTTTACGAAATAATAGCAATAACTGTTATTAAAGTGTTCCATATCGTTATTAGAACATCTAGTACTGGTTATAAGTTTTATAATAATAAATGTATTAAACTGTTGTATACTCTGTATGAGTTAAAAACATATGTCATTAAGTTTTCAGAAATTTTATTGGATAACTGTAATTACAAGCTAAGGTTCTAATGTAAACATACATAAAACATACTTTTAAGCATTAAAAATGATGACAAATCGCTCCCAAAACTGTCCAGTTTATTTTCTTAGCAACGATGCACCCGTATTTTCTTGTATTACATGAGAATTTGCACTATAACTCTTCCACCTTAAGAATGAAGCATCCCCAGAAAGGTTGAGCTTCTTTCCATATAATTTTATTTCCTCTGGTTGATTGACTTTATACCCATGCTCTTCTTTGTCACCGTTAACCTTCTGTTCCTCCATCTTATGTAAAACTTAACATCAGCGATTTCTAATAGGACCTACAAAATAATAATTTTTAAGATTTAGACAAGATTTACATTTGAAAAAACAAAACAATTACAAGCCATAAAACAGTTAGATACTTACATAATAATTTTCCATTTCACACAACGCGATATGATCATGTATCCCACAAAACATGTGCATATACTGTCCATTTTCATCAAACTAGACGTGTGTAAGTCGATGCACAGCGGACTGTCGGAAATTTTACGATTGTTGTATTTTCTCTTCTTGAGTAAAGATAATAAAGACGTTGTGGTTTTGTGTGTTTATTTTGACAATGATTGAACATGTATGGACAATAAAAGTGGACTGTATAAGATAGTTGAGTACCGTTCTGCTTCATGCATAGCATGCTACTGAAATCTTAGAAGGGATGAGCTCGTGCGGCGAACCCTAAATCAGCGGCTGGAATAGCCAGGTTTCTTATTGAGTCGGCGCACTTCGCTCTCGGGTCTGACATATGATTATTATTACAAGACTATGAATATAACTTAACAACGATCATAACCGATTATGCACCGAGAGGTGACGATCACTTAACCATTATAAGATGCGTTTTACACGTTAAAAACGGAAACATATTCAGTATAAGAACGAATAATTCTGTTAATACAATTGTTATATACAAATTCGGATACTGGTCTTTATACAACAAATCTTCCCTACTATACAATTGGAATATAAAGTCTATAACACCTAATAATGTATAAGTAATTCATTATAACCTTTATTTCATAGATGCATAAGGTGTATTAAGCACCTTCCAGTTAAACTCATTGAATAATGAGTATGGAGATGATTGCTTTTTTTTAATAAAAGTTGTATATTTGTTATAAAAGTTTTAATATGCGCTATACACATTATTCTAGATAAATAGTTTAATAAGCCCATTTCTTTCAGTGTGTCTTTATCCGTACAGTTTTCTATAATTTTTACATTAGTGAAAATATTTGGAAAATGAAAATTTTTTGTTCTCTCCAGAACCGTTATTTTTGTACGGCATAAAGTTTTTATGTCTTATTTTTCTAACGCCTATCTTGAGTCGAAATGCCGTCAATTTCTATTTAATTAATTTACCCGACCCAAAATTGGAAAGTTTGATTTTCCGCTGACAACCCATGTGCCACGGAGAATTGACGACAGTGCTCAAATGTTTACTTTTAGGTTGTTGTATTTAAGTCATAGACTCTTAGTCTAGCAGCGTCTTGTCGGTATAGTAGTTATCGATCATTTCTGAAACTTGGTAAGTTGATAACAGCATATTCGGGAACAGTGTTTATCTTTTTCGCTCAATATTGAAGTAATCTATCCTTGGTTTTATATTACGTAGACGTATCGCTTTCTAGCACAGCACAGGGAAAAGATTAATAAAAGCTGATCAAATAAAAATGGACACTCGCCAAAAATAAGTGCTGGCTTATTGGGGTTCAGTATTCGGGTGTGGCTATAAAAATTCATTCAGTTTCCCAGAATGGAGTAAATCCGCATTTTATGAAACGTGACATGTGCCGTGTAATAGGAGTTTGTCCGAAATCGGTGATTGTATTTGCCGAAAGAATTACTTTGTGTGTACGGTGGGTAGGTGTTGAAAATAGAAGGAATTCGATAATACGTAGTAAGCCGTCGTAGAAACTGACGGAACGTTGTTGTATTTTGATACAGTGAGCGACTAAATTCAATAAAACAGGAGTTAATTTTGAGGTCACATTCAGTTGTTAATAGTCATTCGTTTGTGAATGATGACCTCATTGTTTTTTTTTCTGGCGACCCTCTTCTTATTCGTTGCTAATTTCGCAGGTCGTCTAATCGTCAAATTTCAATATATTGATATGAAAATCTATGAAAAACAAAATTTTATTAACCACTAATAAGAAAAACCAAAAATTATGGTGTCCAACAGTGAAAATTATGGAACTAAAGAAGTAAATTCATAATTTTAATTGTTTAATATTAAGTATTTGTTTTTTTATTAGTATGGTTAATAGAATTTTGTCCTTCACTATTTAAATAAATTTTATTCCACAAGATTGATATTTGAGGTTTCGACCTGTTGATGTTGTCAGTGAGACAATTAAACGATCTATCAAAGCAGCAATAAAAATGGGGGAGGGAATGGGGGGGTGGATTGCCATTAACAAAAACATCAGAATGTTTGATATCATCAATCAAAATCGAGGCGCTCGCTGTTTTTTAACGACGAGAATTACTACTGTTTTATATGGAATTCTATTATATTAATATACTGTACATTTATGTATGGTGGGATATAATGACATTTCTAATAATATGCTCTTTTAATATTTATATAAGGCGATAAGATACAATACACGTAAATAAAAAAATAACATACATTGAAACAGATTTGTTAATGCAATAAACGACACATATTCCTTAAAATAAAATATAATATATTTTTTTATATACCTACATATGTACTTACACATCTACATAGAAGATGTATTATTCAATTGCTGTATAGAAACAAAATAAATATACTTATACAGGGTGTGACCTACAACTCGTCGATGTTATACCTTTTGGGTATTCGGCTAACTCTGTGGAGAAGGGAGTGGTTTCTAGATGTTAACAGGGCGCCAGACAAATTTTCTATAGCCGCACAAATACCCTAATAGTTGACTGTCGACTTCCGAAAATAGTCAAAAAGAGGTCGACGATAACTAAAATACGATAATAGTACAACACAAGATGAATATATTTTATTTTACGTATTTACACTTATTGAGTTAATTGTATATTTACTGAATACTGTCTGAAAATTGAAATAGTATTTTGATTAATAGCAAAAGCAAATATTGAGACTAGCTACGCAAACGATTAGAGATTAGGGAGATAAAATCTATTTAAGCAAAATGCAAAAGACAGGCTTCGAAATGGCGTCGCTTGAGCTCAGGCGCATGCGCATAAATACACACAAGCAGGTGTATACCGTAAATAAGCAGATAAGTACCCCTAATTTCCGCAAGCGTATTACAAAATGCTGTCAATTAATCTAGTCAATAAAGCGGAAAAATAAAGAGAAAATATATAAAAAAAAAACAACAATGTAAATGTGCCAATATGGCCAACAAATAAAGAATATTAACAAAAGCGCATACATGCAAACAATCGGATCTAAGCCAGTAAAGCTAAGCAAATAATAAATGTTACTAAGCAATAGCAAATTACCAATACTAATAATTTAATGTTACGATCAAAATTTAAGCATAGAGAAAAAAAAAAAAAAGCGAAATGTTTGTTTCAAAAACTTGCGTGATATCCTTTATTATCCAAGAAATATGTCTGGTAGAGGATCTTCCATGGAACTGTACCAAAACTCCTATGGGATGACGAATGATGGTAGACGTGGTAGCACCGATTGCGTAATGCTTGGCTGAGACTGTCACAGGAGATATTTGAATACGTACAGGAACGTCAACAGTGTTCCAAATGCTGTTACGTAGAAGACCAGCTTCAAAAACAAAAGGAATCAAGCTTTCAGGAAATATTCCAAGAATGTGTGGTCCCCAAAAAAAAACCCTAATGGAAAATTAAAAAAAGAACATTAATTTAATGCTATGGCGCAATACATATGATATATATGGTCACAACGTGACGTATTATTTTAACAAATTAATTTACCTAAATTTTTAGTAATAAAAATAAACTGGCAACGTCGCATGCCATTGCCTATATGGTTAAATTTTACTACAGCTACAAAAGTATAGAGCTTATTACAAAAGGCTAAATGTAAAACAAAAGAAAAATAACTATAATAAAAATACTTACCCTTAACTAAGGGGTTCTTTATAAAACTTGCCGCTTGTAGGCTATCTGCGTATGCGGACAGACGAATACGGACCTTATGGTATCTAATGATAAGGAAACAATTCTTACAATTTGCAATTTGAACTGAACTATTACTAAATATTATTGAATTACCGCTAAAAATGTACAATAACTAATAACTAATGCCTACCTCAATTCGTTTTCCTGGGGATACGATTTTCACACGGCGTGGTGTCAGTGATCCTTCATAAGAAGTCAGAATAAGGGGTTTACACCAAAAATACTATAATCCACAGCACTATATACCCCTAAATTCTTGATAAATGGCCACAAAAATTGCTCCTAATTAAAGATGATTTCAGAAATCATAGATTTTTCACTGGCCACCAATTCACACACACCCTCCAAAAAATCTAACCTTCTCCTGTCTTTCCACCCAGAAAGCGCGCGGAAAAACCCCCCCTTGGAAACTAATCATAGTGTGATTGGACAATAGCTCTGCCAATCACAGTCAAGCATGTCGGAAATAATTGAAAATATTGGTTTTTCCTGATACAACAATGCAACGGAAGGCTATAATACTATATTCTAAGTGTAAATTAACTAACTAAAATAAGACGATGTCATAATCGGGAGTTTTCAACATTAAAAATGCTATGCACAATCGGGCAACACTGTACCGCGCAGACTCTACTTGACTTAATTTAAGTCGATCAATAATCACGGAAGAAGAAGGAGACAATATGGCGAGATGTCAAATTTGAAATAAAATAAACAAACAAGAATCAATGCCCAGTGGACTACATGAATTTTAAATTTAAGAAGCCTGTAAGAGATACACTTTAAGGTAAGCTACGTTAATTAATTGTTAGATACGTAAATAATCTCTAAACCATATCACGAAATGAATTAGGTTATACAAAATTTATATTTATAAACTATTATTTTAATCTTTATTTCAGGGTCCCAGCATTTTTGCGTTTCGAGATGCCACTTGCCGCCTACAAAAACTCCAAGGAACGATAAACACTCCTGTCTACCGTTATAAAAAGGTACGTTTTTCAAAATGTTATTTATTTTATTAATAAAATTACTTTTTAGCTAGGAATGCAAAGGGAATCTCTTCAAGGAAAACCCATTTGGTGGACTATACGAATATCCTTTTCCTTTTAACATAAAAGATCAAATCTTATCTATACAGTGTGATGTTAATTTTAGAATGAAAATACAAATTTTGAATGGATAGAGATGTTTAAAGAAATAGGAAATAAAACCTTATAACTACTGAGTGTTTCAGTTTTCAGAATAATATACATGCCTTCTTTTAAGGTAAAAATTAAACGTTACAAGGGTAGTCCCGAGGTAATGGGCCAAAATTCATGGGTAGATTCCCCAAGTAAAAATATTGCGATTTAGCCGAACTTACCTTAGTCCAAAAGTTAATAGTTAAAGAGATACAGGGTGTTAAATGTAAAATATTATTTCAGTTTTTTTTTAATTCCTTAACAAATACAAATATTGTCACAAAATTTTGGGGAAAGCCAAATATCTCGGAAACGGTGCGAGACAGCTACTTTCATAAAGTCTACCTTTTTTTGTGTAAAAAAAGTTGGAAAATAAGAATTTGATACCAAAGATGAGATACCTTTAAGTACAAAAAAGTTACGTCGTTTCCATCACCTTCAATTTACGGCAGCTGGCGCCCTTTATGAACCAAAATGTGAACAAATTTCAATTCCTCTATCCAAAGAACCCCAAACCCCAAAATTTTGTGTAGATATTTGCATTTATTAAGAAATAAATGGAAATAAACTAAAATAATATTTTACATTTAACACCTTGTATCTCTTTAACTGTCAACATTTGGACTAAGGTAAGTTCGGCTAAATCGCAATATTTTTGCTACGGGAATCTACCCATGAATTTTGGCTCATTACCTCGGGACCACCCTGTATAAATTCATTTTGGCAATGTGATATTCGTACAAGTTTTTTAGTGAAATCTGTATCTCATTTATAGTATTTAGCTTAAAAAATAAATGAATGAATTGAAAATATGACTTAGGTAGTTAGCGTCCTATATTTGGAGAAAGTTAATAAAAATCATTGTGCTGTATTGCGCTAGCTATGTGCTATATTGTGCTGTAAGAATTGAAAAAGATAATAATTGTCACTTTTATAGAAAAAAGCAAAATTAGGTATGTTTTCAATGCTCCTACTAGTTATTGTGAACATCGTAGCGTTCGTTAAAAAAAAAAATTATGTCTGTCATGATTTCCAGGAAAATGTAGTTTTTTTAGCATAATATATGGCGCCGGCTATATTAAATTTCCATAATTTTATTTTCATCCTCTTCAACAAGCACTAAATTCATTTTAAATGTCATAGAGGCACGTTGTAAACACTTACATTTTTTAATTCATTTTAGGACATAGTAAATTCACATATTTGTCGGTAGAAATACATTTATTGTGTATCACATATGTATTTCTAAGTATTCTTTTGGTTTCGAGTGAAAGCAGTGCGTGCGTCAATACAATCTGAAAATCTTCCTTTCGCGTGTTTTTATTGTACAGAGTTCATGTTGTAACATTTTTCATAATGCTTTGTGTGGCTGAAAAATATGAGCTTTTTATCTTTTGTTATTTTATATGATTTTATAGTTATGATTCTGAACGCGCGGTGAAAGTTTTTTCTGGAAATCCTACGTCGAATAGAACTTATAAACTTTTCTTGGGAGTTAGTGGAAGAAAATGTTATGGAAAATAAAATTAAAACAAAATTGATCCAACGCTGTGAAAATATGAAATTAGATTTTTAAGAAATGAATAAAAAAATATATGATGTTTGACTAGAGGAAAATAAATGTCTAATTAGAAATTATTTTACTTTCGTAAATACCAAAATTAAATTCAATATTTATATTTGATGTTATCTAAATGTTAATTAATCATGACATAACCTGGATACATATCTATTTACTGACATTTGTACTATTTATATTGATTTTTACGCTTTTAAAAGTAGCTGTAACACGTCTGGTCCGTCAGCGTTCTTTTCCCAGACTTGTTTGTCGCAATTATTTTGCAATTTACATTTTGTAAAAATAAAGTTTCTGCGTGCTTATAAAAAAGGAGCAAAAATCAAGTTTAAATTTGCATTTGAAAGGTACTGCATAGTTGCAGGACATGTAAATCATTTTCTAGAATTGCAACCGTGCACCAGATGTACACCTTCGATTTTGCTTCTTTTTAAAGCTTCTTTACTTACGTACAAAAGTTAAAATTTATAAAAACTGTAAATAACACAAAATATGCTGAAATATGTTCAGGGTAACCCAGAATTTGACCGCCATTGCAGGAAAACGGAAAGAATTAAAATTAAACCGCAAGCGGAGATCTTTATTGACATGTTGATATTTGACTTAAAATTCTATCTTGGTCACTTTGCCGTCCTAAGGGCAGTGAAGTTATTGAATTTTTTTTCCAATTTCACATATGTCATCTGAAGGTTACCATTTCTCTCAACGACTGCGATTAAAAAATAAATTCGAAATCTAATCCGGTTCAAAATAAATAAAATTATATTTAAAGAGTTTGTATCGATCAAGTCTGTTACTGATTTTACCAGTGTTATGGTGGAAAAAATACTTTCAATGTTGTATTCAATATTGATAAATAATTTGTTTCTATAAAGCTGTACTGCTAATTTCGAACTTTTCCGGGCAGTCTACTAATGTGTTAAATTTGCTGATAGCTACTTTGGGGGCCCGGAGCAGATCTCAAGACTATCAAGAGCGCTCTGCTACAGACTCAAAGTAGCTATCAGTAAATTGATTACATTAGTAGAGCTTCAAATTACAGGTTTTCTCGCAAATTATTTAAATTTAATGATAAACGAAAAAGTTACAACGAAAAATCGAAAATTTTAGCTATTTAGTTCGCGACTTCCGGTTGCTACTTTTTTACCCTTTCTCCTCGATGACATGTTCGAAACTAACACAAATAGTGTCTGGAAGATGTAATAAAAATAACGAAACGTCGATAAAGTATAGTAGTATTTTTTTATACTTCCTGACCTAATCTAAATAAAAGCAGGAAGGAAGAAATTTGGTAGTTCTTGATGTTGGTCTTCTTAATCGTTTTATTTATTTAATACATACTCTTAATAAGTACCATTTTTTCATAAATTACATAAAAAATATCCTACAACTGAACTGCTTGTTGTGGAATATGACAATAAACAGACGGGTCATCTTCTGCTTAAAAATAGGTAACTAAGAATTCAGTGTTTGGCGTACAATTCAAATTATTTTCACTGACAAAAGTAACAGACTGAAACAAGTTAGAAACCTTATCTATCTTATCTTATCTCCACCACTAAATTATTTTGAATCGTAAACTATCAAGCGGTGTGTTTAATGGTCATATTACGAGGGGGAATCAATTATAAACGGTAATTTTGTAAAATAAATTTATTGATCAATGGTATACACAAACTAAACATTTAACATTTTTCAATGTAGTCACCTCCGTGCTCTACACACTTTTGCCACCGATTTGGAAGCTTGAATATTCCTTCTTCATAAAAAGTTTGAGGGCGAGTTGTCAGCCAATTGCGCACATACTCCTCTACTTCTTCATTGCTTTCAAATCTTTTGCTTCCAAGCGATTCTTTCAAGGGCGCAAACAAAAAATAATTACAGGGTGACAAGTCAGGGCTATATGGAGGGTGCTCGAGGGTTTCCCAGTGCATTTCTTCCAATGTATGTTGTCATGAAGGATGATGACGTCTCGAATGGGCATACCCCGTCGTTTGCTTCGATACGCGATTTTTGTCGACTGTAACAACTCAGAATAGTAAACCGCATTCACTGTTCGTTGATCGTGAAGAAAATCAATGAGTAAAACTCCCCTTGAGTCAAAGAAAACAGTTGCAAGTACTTTTCCGGCTGAGGGACGGGATTTGGCTTTGACTGGGCAGCCTTCATCCTTTCTTCGCCACTCCTTACTCGCCATTTTTGATTCGGGAGTGTAATGATGGACCCACTTCTCATCACAAGTGACAGTACGCCTCAAAAAAACCTCCCCTTCTTGTCGACATCGATTCAGATGTCTTTCACTGATCTCCGACCTGACCTGTTTTTGATTTTCGGTCAACAACCTTGGAACCCGGCTAGCACTAATTTTTCTAAAGCTAAGTTGATCAGTGATGATGGATTGAACACTCCCATAGTTGATACCCAATTCTGATGAGATTTGTTCAATAGTTAACTGGCTATCACCTTCAATAAGCTCTCGAACAGCACGGATGTTGTCATTTGTGAGACTTGTTCGTGGGCGTCGATCATGACTTTCATTTTCGCCACGTTCTCGCCCATCCCTGAATTCTCTGACCCACGTATACACTCGATTCTGAGACAGTGTAGCATCCTCAAACTGTGCCCTCAAACGAGTGGAAATTTCCGATTTTCCGATGGTTTAACGCCTTCATTGGTTAAAAACTTTATGATGATGCGTTGTGCAACAGACGAAGGTACCTCGCGCTCAGTCATGGCTGTACTGTGGACAGAACAGAGCGCAGCTGCTAACCAAATCGGTTTCCCCCATCCTCATAAACCAAACAACACTCGAGCATCGAATCCTCTAGATCGGAATTACGTGCTAAGCCAAATAGTAAAATTACCGTTTATATTTGATTCCCCCTCGTACAATACCAAAACAAAAATAAAATATTATTTTAATTTCTGAGCTATTGTTACAAATAATTTATTTATTTTTTATCTTCAATACACATCCCACATACAACTTTAATCTACTTCTAACTAAATTTATGGATATTTTATTAATAACTATTGCTGAAAATGTTGTGTGGCTACCTATGAGATAAAATTATATGACTGGGATCTTAATTTGGGTTTATATAAATATTAATTAATAATTAATTAATATTATTATTATTATTTCGTTTAAGGTATAATATAAGCCACACGAATTAAACTGTGATATATATATTCCATTTGAACCTAAAACAGCTTAAATTTGCTAAATACGAAAACGAATAATACTGCCATTATTTTTAGCTGCCGTCGTTATTTTTTATGTTTATTAATTAAAAGCTAAACCCGCTATTAATGTAATATAAACCTTTTAACGACTACTAGGATATTTCGTCTATTTATATATTTAGGTGACGAAATGTGCGCCGCAACGTTAACAGCTTTAAATTTGTTGGTAATTAATAAAATCGGACTAATGCATCATAAAAACGAACACTACCCAA